GTTATCCCAAGAACTTTTGATTCACAGTGAATCTTAGAGCCTGACCTCCATTAGCTCAATGTGGACCTTCTACTGCTCAAGCATCAAATTTATGCAATTGTGTTTTTCATAGTCTGGGACAATCTAACCAACCCATGCCAAAATAAAAATTAAGAAAAATGAAGTCAAGAAAAAAGTGTTTTGGTGTTAGGGAGTGCCTAAGGATAGCCTTGCTAACAGCTTTTCATTTAAAAATTGATGTCATGGAAAGGCACTTAAAAGATGTGACTTCTAGCCCCAGCACTCCCATCAGCTGGCTGTGTTGTTTTGGCTAACATAATCTCTCTTTGCCTCAGTTTTCTTATTTGAAATACGATGAAGTTTGATTGTTTAATTTTTAAGGTCCGTTCCAGATCCAGCATTCTATAACTCAGGGTTTTTTTAAGTCTTTGTACAGAATATACATGTGACTAAGACTTATTATTTTATGGTTACTCTCATCATACCAAGGCTTTGATTTTTCCTCCATTTGGGGGATCCAGACCTGTAAATTCTTGGTGTGGGGAACACCAATGCAGATCAATAACTTAATATCAGAGAATTGCCTGGAGCATCAGAAGGTTAAGTGACTTGCCCATGATCACAGAACTATATGTCATAATCAGGACTTCCTGACTGGAGTGGTGTTCTGTCCACTAAGCTAGTGGTGTCAAACTCAAATACAAAAGGATTGGATCTGCATATTGACTACTTAGAAAACCACAAATTATCATTATCTGTGTTGTTTTTTTAATGTATTTTGTCAAGCATTCCCCAATTACATTTTAATATGATTTGGGCTTTGCTCTCAAGAATTTGACACTTCTTCTTTAGATCACACTGTCTCTTGATTAGCATGGATAATTGGGAGATCATTACGTGGTTTCACAAACAAGCATACATTTCCCAACATCAACTAGGTATATATTTTCCTTCATAACATTTGTCAGCATAAGAAGCTGAATTCGCCAAAGGTCACAGATCCATCAGGCCAAGCTATATTTCAAAGTATAATTTCAAGGCCTTATGAACTGAGTATAAGTAAATAGACCAAGTTCTCCAGTTATATGAAGGAAATTACAGTGGAAAGTGGGATAATGCTTTTATACTCATTTAGAGTGACCTAACCTAATTCACTTAAGTTTCTACCATTTGAGGGTTTCATGTTCAGCCGGAATTTGTGAAAATGACAGCAATCATTCTTTCACTGTGGTGTCTTCGAATTTGTATTGTAATTTGCTCCACAAATCCCTAGGCCTCAAATAGATGGTATTTGTGCTGCAGAATTTATTGTGAAAGGAGGAAAAAAAAAAACTTCTCAGAAGCTCTTTTCCTAGGATTTGTGCAAAGTCTCACTTCGGAGAATTCATTTCCTAACTACTGTCTGAACAAACAGCATAGGTCAGCCTTTTGACCTTCTGCAAAAGGGCACAACGCACCTTCTAGATGAAACTAAAGCCTCAGGTTGGCATGTTTAAGCCGTCCGTTTGGAAAAAATGCATGCCTTGACATTTTTCTTCTGAATAAATGAAATCCATTCCCCTTTGATACGTTAACCCATATTTGTTCCTTAGTTGTTGGAATAGTAAAAGGAAAATCTGCAGGAGAGGCAATATGTCCTGGAGGGATAAGGTTGAATGTTACCCCAAATATTTAGTGCTGTCTTACCTACTGGCTGCTGAAGTTGGTGTCTTTGAAGTTGGGCTAGAGAAGTAACGGATCAAGCTCTGAGTTTTCTTTTGTTTGGCTGTTGTACATCAATCTGTGAAATTGACTAAGTACCTTGCTTCCTTATAGTGTGGTTTCTTCAAGAGAAATAAGAAAGATCATTATGATGCCACATATCACAAGGCTGAGATCCATGCTCAGCCATCTGATAAAGAGAGGCTTACTTCTGATGCATAGTATTGAGCTACTTCTGTAATTGGTAATTGATCAATGTTTTTTCATTGCTAGCTGTGGGACCTGCTGTGGTTGTGGTGGCTAATGTTAAGGGAAAGAGCTTGCTGCATTAGTTCTATTAACAGATGAGTTTCCATGTTATCTCCATGTGCTTGCTTGCTTTTGTTTATTTTCATTATTTGCATTTGAATGCTCACGCGCTTTTTTTTCAAGAAAGTATAAGAAAAACCCTTCAGCTACAAATATGATTTCCCCTCCTTCCCATCCGTTCCAATACAACCTAAAACAGTAGCAAAAATTTGAATCCTTATATACTCTTAAACAAAGAATATCCCAAATTTCTATAATCACGTGTAGCTTGCTATGTGTGTGTGTGTGTATGTATGCCTGTGTGCATGTATGAACACACACATACATACATATACACTCACTACTGGATAGTGAGCAAAATTGGAGATTCTAACACATATAAGAAATTGCTACTGATTTTTTTTTTGTTAGTCATGAAATTGCCTATAACTAGAAGTGACGTTGGCTGCTTTATTAACCTTTGTTGCATGCTGAAAACATGTTATTTCTCTTGATGAAAAGGGTTTTTCATCATTTTAATTTTACCTGATTTTTTCATCATTATCATTTTAATCTACTTACATTAAATGGAGGGGGGAATTGATAGTTTGGAATAATTTTGTTGTTCAGAAATGTGCTGCTAAGATCAAGAGATACAGCCTTGCTTTGCTGCAAACACAAGACAGGCCAAAGCCCATTTCAGCACATTGTGACCTAAGCTCTATGCACTAGTGGAGTAATAACAAATACAAAGAAATTTCAGTTCAACAAAATAAACCCTAACCTCCGTATTTCAGAGGTTTCACTTAAGTTTTTAGATTTCCTGTTACTTTTCTTATTTGTGAACCCATGGGAGAAGTTGAGTGTTTCCCTTTCTTGGTGGTTTTTTTTTTTTGACATCTTGGTAAGCAGGGAAAGGAGGACATTTTCCCAACTTCCTATTCCTTTCCATGGCTGTTTAGGACCCCACTCAGATTTCACTGGCAAAGTACTTCTCTCTCATGCCATTGAATGTTCATGAAATACTTAAATTCATTAAATTGCTTAAATGGGGTAACAGCTGTGTTTTATGCTAGGTAGATACTATTGTGATCTGATCTGGGATTATTATTCATGAAAAAATGTGATCAACATAGAAGTAGCCTTGAGATGAAAGCTGTCATGCCATTTTTTTTCCTATTGCCATATTAATACTTATGCATTTTTACCATGGTATTTTAATAATACTGTAATACCATTCAACATAAGCATTCTGTTCCCATAGGTAGTTGCATAATAAACAATCTAATCTTTCATTCTAAAATATCCTTATCATCCATCATCTAGCTGCATTTCTAAATTGGAATACTCTTCTTTTACTACCACACTGCATTCCAAACAGTTTTTGATTCTGAAATAACCTAGAAAATTTATTCAGATTGCATTGTCTTTCAACAGAGCAAGGTAGATACAGCTAAAGTACTTAATTCACATTGTACTTTCAATGGAAAAGGCATCTTGTATTTTCCAAGAAAAAAGAGGAGCTATTTCAATGCGTTGAGTCACACAGCAGCTCAAACAAACAAAAGGCAGTATATAATTCAGCTTAATGCTAGCACACAGTGACTTCATTACTTGTAAAGAAAAGAGATTAACTTGTAGACAGGTCAACAAGTCCCATACAATTGAGATGACATATAGCTCCCAGGAGATATGATATGAGCAATGAAGCTTTAAACAGGAGGCATAGGTAAGGTTTTTAAATATGCCAGTTACACCATACTGGTATATTCAAATACCATCTTGCAAAATGTTTGTGATTTAACATCAATTTATTTTGGTAAGGAAACATTTTCTCTTTTTTTTTTCCTCAGGCTTGATTTAGCTCCTCATCTATTTCCAAAATGTCCTTTATGCTGAAATGACTCCCCTAGTGTGATTTTAAAATGAGCTATAATTCAAATATAATATTGTGATTATTTGTTAAATTGTAGAAGCATTTTCCCAGTGACTCCTAAATTGTTAGAACAGAGATGGGTTTCACTGTCGTAAAAAAAAGAAAAAGAAATTTAATCTAAAGCCAACAGGTGAAAATGCACTTGGCCTTTAGTTGCATAAGCTCTTCTACTGTATTGTTACTCCATTATTCTCCCCTTCTCCAACCTCAGCCATTTTTCTTTTCAGACATATGTGTTCCTTTCTTAAGGAAAATTATTTCTTTTCTCCAAAATGTGGGCATTACTTTAAAAGGGAAAAAAAAAAGCTTAGCTATTCCTGCTTAGTACTTTTTTTTTGCATTTTATAACTGAATTTTTTTTTTGTTCCCCTTTTCTGCTTCTTCTCTAGTGTGGATTCTTTAAGCGCTCCAGGTACGATGACAGTGTTCCCCGATACCATGCTGTAAGAATCCGGAAGGAGGAACGACAGATCAGAGATGAGAAATATAATGATGGCCTGGAAAAAAAACAGTGGATCACAAAATGGAATGAAGATGAAAGCTACTCCTAGGGGGAAAAAACAGCACACTCTCCAGACTGTTCTCTTGTTTTCCAACTCAGAAATTTAAATGGATTTTAAAAGTTCCTTCAGTAACTGAGGATTGGTTTCAGACTTACTACAGACAGTATGGACCTACAGTTTTAAACTGTGGATATTGTTACGTATCCCAAGGCTTTTATTTTGCACAGCTAAATTTGAGATGGATGGAACTGATTTTTTTTAAACTGCCTTAATTTAAATTTCCAGATTGCCTTTCATTTTGGTGTGGCTGACCCATGATGAGAAAGGGTATGCTGAGTTGTACCTCCTGTGAAATCTTCCCATTGGTATATTAGAAAAAAAGCCACCATTATCAGTCATGCTGATATCTACTGGCATGTAGTAAGTTTCATAATTCTAGCATTACCTTTGCAAACATTTCTTCCACTAGAATTGGAGAACTTTAAATCGACAGTGTTAGTTTAAGCTAAAGTACTGTCTTCAAGTAAATGTGCAATAGAAGGTGATGCTGCCATCCCACCATCTTGTTTTTAACCTCAGATTTGTGTGAATACTGCTCACACCAAAATATACAGGTTATCATCTTCTCTTTTGACTAACACACACACACACACACACAACAGGCTTGAATACTAGTTATATTTTTTGTATATATTTTAGCCCTGGTATTTATTTTTCTCATAAATCATTTTGCCTTTAACTAACACATAGGCCAAAGACTATCCAATTTACCTTTCTTTGATTGGTTTAGGTGTTCAGAGTCAGCACATAGGTGGTTAGTGGTTTTGACCTAAATCTTTCACTGCAAAAAGAAAATAATAATTCTTTATAAATATACCAGAGATATTTTTTTAATAACTTAAAACTTAGCTATATATTGTAGCGTCTTCCCCTCTTCTCTCTTCACATCCTTATTCTTCCTAAACTCCATCTAGATCTGGGTTTGGCTAAGAGATAGGATTTAACGCTAAGATTATTTTGTCCTTACTGAACAGTCAGGATCCTTTTTTTGGGGAAGGGGTGCATTTTGTTTGCCCTCCAGCAACTATTTTGAGAACATCACACACATGCTTTAAGGAAATCTTGGAGGAAATGGACTTGTTTGTCCCCATCCCTCACTTCTCCAGATGCTTTCTATTAATAGCACTTGGAAAAAGGCTAGGTGCATATGGTGGATCTGAACTGATCCAATTTGAGACTACTGAAAGACGCTCTAATGTCAAAACAGTGATTTTATTTTTCAGACATGATAGCATGACTTTTAATTTTTTGGTTACTATTAGAGCCATCAAAAAAGTACATTGATGTTTTTTCTCCAACCTATGTTCCCTGAATGACTTTGTGATATTGAAATAAGAACGTTACAATACCTTCGAACTGCTTATCGCCTTCTACTGACATAATAAGGCAATCGCTGTACTATATACATTGATTATATCTTGAATAGAAACAGGCATCACAAAACAGTTTACCTAACTGTCAAATTCCAAAATGTTAAGTTTATGAGGGGGGAAAGGAGGAAGGTGCTAATTAGTTTGAAACTAGTATAAGAAATTTCCTGAAGTACAAAATACTGTTATGTGTGCTTTCATCAGTTTGGGCTATTTTTTTTTCCTTTTCAGGAACTATATGCCCTTAAAATTCTTATGTATTTCAAAAGTCTTCATTCATAGAGACATTTACACAAATTGTATTTTGTTTACAATTTTAGTCTCAAAAAACAAGGTATCATCAGTGTTTAAAAATTCAGTTTCTTGCCTGGATAACTCAAGATCCCAATGTACTGGCTTTATAAGCTACTAAGAGGCTGCTTATGTTGGCAGTGTTCGTAGGCCTTTGTTATAAAAAGTGAATGTCCTGAAGTCAGTGTAGTTTTCAACAACACGAAAAGCAAGAATGTTGTTGCAGTGTTAAATTTAGAATTAAAAATGTCATCTCAAGTCAAGTCACTGGTCTGTTTGCATTTGATAAATTTTTATACTAACTAACGTTGTGAAATCATTCCATGATAAGAACGTACCTGTGGATATTTGTATGAAAGTGTGAAATAAAATTTTTTTATGAAAGTGCTTATTGCTTAGTCATTGTCATGAGGTCAACTTTAGTACTGTAATATAGCAGACATTTGTGAGAGAGTCTTAATTGCCAGACTTTCTGTCTTCACAAAAGCTGTTATGTCTAGGTCTTACATAAGATTTATGAAATTGTGTGTTATTTAATTACTTTTAAAGCACAAAATATCTGAAAATTGTCCAAATATGATTTTGACTAGTGTTTGATATAAATGAGTATTAAACAAATACCTAAAGAAAAGGTGATATAAAATCTGTAATTAAGAAAATTTGGACAGTTTAAACAACTTTTAAACATTTTACAATGGTATACCCATTTTATGTGAGTCTGTGCTAATGAAGGAGGCAATACTTTTATTTTTTTCCTGGTCTACATTATTTACCAGGTCCTTAGTATGTTCTAAGTCTGCCACTTATTACCTGGACCCCAGTTGCCTCACGTGTAGTATAAGGACATTCAACTAGAAAGTCTCAAAGACCCATCTGAGCTCTATGATTCTGTGTCCAGATTAATTTTGGATGAAGGTGAGATAGTGTCTTTGTCAGATTCAAAAGGTGAAGTTATTTGAAGTAATCAAGTACGCATTTTTCTCTTGGTTGTTGATAAATTTTAGAATGTTTTTCTTCCCTAGTGGATGAAAAGCCTAAGAGATTACTTGTGTAGAAGAACATCTGCAGAATGAATACTGATTCTGGGCCATGTTGTATAATAGAAAAAAAACTGGACTTAGAGTCAGAACACCTGGGTTCTCATTCTAATACTACTTGTTATGTCATTGTCATTTAAGCTGACTCAATTCCTCTGTATCTAAGATGGGGCAGTTAGGTGGTTCAGTAGATAGAGCACTAGGGTCAAGGAAACCTGAGTTCAAATCCAGCCTCAGACACTTAGTAGCTGTGTGATCCCAGGCAAGTTATTTTAACCCTGTTTCCTTCAGTTTCTTCATCTGTAAAATAAGCTGGAGAATTAAATGGTAAACCACTCTAGTACTTTGTCAAGAACACTCCAAATGGGGTCACAAAGAGTTGGACACGACTGAACAACAACAAAATGGGAACAATAATAATAAAGTAATTTACCTCACTCGTTAAATTACTGGACACATTGACAAATTTACTGGAAGACTCAGACAGACAAAAGTCATGTAGACAAAGTTATAAACCATATTCTAAACTACCTTGGGCATGGTTGTTTTGCTGTCTACATCTCTGGAGAGAGTACCCAAATCCATGAGATCACAGATGCATCAAAGAATTGAAGTGGTCTATACTAGAACAACTGAGAAGCCCAAGCTGGTGTTTGGACAGTTGTAGATCTCTGATACTTAAAAAAAAAAAATGGCCTCAGCCAAAATTAAACAAGAATATCATTGCAGTATTTATTTTAGAATTGTTTCAAATGTCCTATCAAGTCAAGTCAAGATTATAAAGATCTAATGGGATAGTACATGTTAAAAAGCACTTTGTAGGCTATAGGGCTTTATACAAAGGTAAGGTACCACCATCATCATCCTTATCAACACTGAGAATTAATGACCTCGGTGGGACTGTTCAGTCTTGTGATGGCACTGATAAGGTATGATTTGGTACCACCACTGCACTAAAAAGAATCCATTTCCACTCCTGCCTAGCTGTTTACTTACCTCCAAAGTAAATTGTTGTTTCAGGTCTACTCTTTGAAAAACAAGTCTTTAATCATTTTGACTTAATCCCCACTCTAGCAGCTTTATTAAATTTTCCTGGTAAGATTCAAGTCAATAAACATCTATTAGGCATATGTGGGACTATATACAAGACACTATACTAAGCATAAAGACAAAAATGGAAGAGCCCCTCCCTTCAATAAGTTTACATTCTATTGGGCAGATACAATTTGCACAAGTTCAATATAAGGTAGGGAATGAACAAGAGGCAGGTGCAGGAGAGATCACAAAGAGTATTACTGTGCCAAGTAATTGGGGTGTGAGGACAAAAACTGAAGGTGGTCCATGTCTTCAAGAAATTTACATTTCACTCTCTATGGCATGTGCACAGATAATGATAATTCATGATACGCAACAACGGGGGCAAAGAAGAGTCATCAGAGTGTTCTGGGAATATCTGAGGAGAGAAAGGCGAGAGAAACAGGGAGGTTACACCTGACCTGAGCCTTGAATAAATACTGATAAACAGTCCAAGAGGAAAAGGTAATCAAGGAGTGTGTTCCAGATGAAGGGAATGTATCGTACAAATGCAAAGAGGCAGGAAATAAATGGTTCGTCAAGTCTGAGTAAAAAGTAATAGCTGGTAGGCCCATTTTCTAGAATGATAAGAGTATATGAAGTAGGTCATGATAGTTTATCAAATAATTTAACGAAATGAAAATAAGTCACATACTAGGAGCACTGAGTTGTTGACCTGTCCTAAATAATTGCCTTCATTAATTTTTTTAACTTGGCATTTGTCTGAAAGATAAATTATGCCATGCTTTCTTGGTTTATCTTCAAGGAGTAGAGGAATCTTGCATCCACGAGAACCTGTGTCAGAATGCTAATGGATTCTAGAGTGTTTTGTAACGTGAGGAAAATGTAAAAACTACCAATAAAGAAATTAATAGTTAGGATGGTCTACGGTAGCAAAAAGACAGTTTAACAAACAGGTTTCTAGATTATATGCCCTCAAAGGAGAAGGAGAACAGATTGGAAAACACAACATTCTGGGTTTGAGGACTTTACCTAATACCTAGAGGACGGCACTGTCTGGTCAGCTTTGGTGACATTTGGATTAAGATTTTAAAAGGTTTTTCTGACACCAAAGTCAAGAGACCTGCTGTTGGCAGTTCTTAGTGGGGAAAATGAGTCCCCGGGGGACTTCGGAGCTCCCTTTAGTTGTGACCTCAAGAGAGTTTATATAAATAAACAAATGGATGTTTGCTTTGGTTCCTGATTATGGCCAAATGGAAAATTGGTGTTTCTACTTCTGTCATACCTTAAAATAAATATAGGTTTTTTTAGATGTGGAAGTTGTTTGATCCAGCTGTTATAATTTGGGAGTATTACTGAAGTGCTGACTGAGACCATCTGTGGAGTGGCTGTTACTACTTGTCCCTATCTCTCAGGAAAGTAATAAAAGGATTAACAGCTAAGTTGTCTGTCTAAGGAGAAGTAAGTTGTAAACGCACAGATCTTAGCAAGAAAACTGGCTTAGCACAGGGTAAAGGTAGGCCAGGCACCATGATGGGGAAAATGGAGCAGATAAATACTTGATGATTACATTGAAGTGAGCGATGTCAAGTGACATTTTTATAACAGTCAGCAAAGCTAAGTGTCAGGGTAAAAATCTTCTCTTTGGCCTAGCCCTGCTTGTCAGTTAGGATAGCTACAGCCACATTTGGAAATAGAACCTGGGAAGGATAAAAGTGAGGGGACAGGTCCGATAATGATGTTTTCTCATGTAGTAATTACATTTACTCATATTTAGATGAGAGGATCTCAAGGAGCTACCATGTCCGAGTAATAATAATGATAGCTAACTTTAAGATAACTTTAAGGTTTGCAAAACACTTTTCATATGTTTTCTTAGTTGATCCTTACATTAACTGTGGGAACTAGATGCTATATGGGGCTGCTATGCAGTGGATAGAGTGTTGGGCCTGGAGTCAGGAAAACTCACCTTCCTGAGTTCAGATGTGACCTCAGACACTTATTAACTGTGTGACCCTGGGTAAGTCACAATTTGCCTCAGTTTCCTC